AGCTGCACAGAGCGACGGGGAGACTGGGAGCCGGATTTAAATGCAAGCGCGTCGGAAAAAGTCAAGAAATGAGTGAAAACCGAAAAAAGAAGCAGCATCTGGCTGCTTGTCAATGATATTGGAGAAAGCAAAGCTGAGTGCAGGATTTGTAAAATGAAAATAACCTTCAGAGCAGGGTTTTGTTTTGGTAACCACTCAGGATTTATTGTCAGAGGTGGGAGAAGTTCAGACAATTTAAAAAAAAGTTACAATCAGGGTTCCCGCGGGGGCTTAACAAGTCTTAAAAAGTCTTACATTTGATAATCAGAATTTAAGGCCTTAAAAAGGTCTTAAATATGATTCAGAAGGTCTTAAAAATTATCGGATTTGAAAGGTACTTCTGCGTTGCGATAGCGTCTAAATGTGTTTTGGGGAAAATGTCCGGGCTGCAATTAACCAGTACGGTAATAGCCTTTCAGTTCCCCCCAACAATTTGTATTGAATTAAATCAACATGGAACCAGTAATAACTAACTTTGTTTCCCCCGGCCCCTTATTGGAGAACACCCAGCTAGTAACCTATCAACCAAGCTTCAGCTCATGTAGCCTATCTTCGAATCTACTTACAAATAAATATGGGGAAGTGTAAGTTCAACCGTATTTGGTTGGAAAACATCTAATTTAGTGCTTGGTTGAAACCAGTGGAGGGAACGTGTTTGAAGCCCGCTGCACCTTTTGCAAAATAAATTAGTGTTTGTTTTGCTAATGTAGCGTTAGCTAGTGCAGCGTTAGCTAGTGCAGCAGCAGCTAATGTAGCGTTAGCTAGTGCAGCAGCAGCTCCCGCAACAACACAGGGGGACCTCCGGGCGAAGTTTGGGTCTACGTCAACCCTAAAAGCGGAGGTGCTGTAGACGCTAAATACCGTAGCTAAACACCAATCATACAACAGCAACGATGAAAGATTGTAGCCAAGGCAGCAGAGCTCTGAATATAGCTCTTGTCACTCTCTCTCACACACACACACACACACACACACACACACACACACACACACCACACACACACACACACACACACACACACACACACACACACTAGGGCTGCTCGATTATGGCAATAATCAAGATTATGTTGGTCAATAATTAATATCACGATTATTAAATATGATTATTCATTGACTTTGAAAACATCCATTTATTGAACTTTAAAACAAATAATAATTTGAACAGTATCTTTTTAACTGTTGATTACCCTGAACGTATAATTCCACTGAAAAACCAATACAAAAATTAATTAAATAAATGATACATTACTAAAAAATTAATTAGATCAAATATATTGTAGTGCACTGTCACAACCTAGCAAAGCAAATTAATCGTTTTTTCCGATTATGTTGTTTTCGTAATTGTGGCAGGCCAAAATCGTAATTGCGATTAAAATATGATTAATTGCACAGCCCTAACACACACATACACACTTTTTGTCTAACACGCTAACACAGTTCTGTACTGTTATGCTGTTGTGTTCAGTCATTGTTCTTATGTTGAACATGAATACATTTACTTTGTAAGTGATTATGGGACGTATTTCTTCTTTATATACATTTTCCTTCATACTTTATTGCCGTGAAATAGGTCTTAAATTCTATTCAAAGTGGTCTTAAAAAGGTGTTAAAAAGTTTTAAATTTGAGTTGGCGAAACCTGCAGGAACCCTGTACAATAAAAAGTCCTGCATTCAAAATATTACAAGTAAAAGTACAAAAGTATTAGCATCAAAATATAGTTAAAGTACCACCTGCAGAGGGATCTAGATGCAGATGTTCTCTTCCCCATAGAGACTGCCTGGCTGCACATTATCCCTTGCATAAAGATAGATCGTGGGTCCCTTATAACATGTTGTACACAGTGGAAATAAACATTCTGGTTACCTCAATATCAGGGATCTTATACATTAAACTTCTTCTGAATCAAACCGTCACGGTAGCCTTACCTTACTGATCCCTCTTAAATTAGAAAAACACACGTTACTTTACCAGCAGAGAGAAAATTGATTATTAAATTATTAATGTGACTAATAAAGAGCAATTTGATTATTAAGTATTATTCTGTTGATCGATGTCATTACATTTGGTGAAAAACACATAATGACTTGTTTATGACTCGTTTTGTCAAAGTTTAGGACTTGGACTTGAACTTGACCATCCTGACTTGAGACTTGACTTGGACTTGCAAAACAATGACTTGAGACTTGACTCGGACTTGAGCGCAAAGACTTGAGACTTGACTCGGACTTGCAAAACAATGACTTGGTCCCACCTCTGGAAATAACTGCGGTCTGGCTCTCCCAACATACACGCGGTTTGATTGGCTAGCGCTTGTAATGTCAGATTTGCATACGCAGGATTTGATTGGCTGACGCCTCCGTCGAGGCGGCAAAAGTAGAACATTGCTCTACTTTTGCAGCGAGCACCGCGAGAGAAGCTACGCTTTGCTCCCACAATGCAGTTCGGCGAATCGTGATGTCACCCCATTCAAAGTGAATGGGCAGAAGCGTTGAAGCGGCAACGCACGCCGCCGTGTGTAGGCTCCGTTAGTGCAGGTGTCAGTACCAGATATGTTCGGGCTACCAGATCTGTTGTCATATCCGTCATATACTCACCTCCCTCTGCTCCCAGCGCTCTGCTGCCACACACCGGCCGTCTGCGGAACTGCAGCCGGAGGAACTCGGGACAGCTTGTTATGTGTGGGGTGCTATGGTGGGGTCCCATGTACTTGTGCACATAAATAATGTTTCTAATTATTTACAATTAAAAAATATATATATTCTGCGTTACTTTAGCCAACACTTTTATAAGGCCACTAGATTAAATAATTACGAAATGTGTAGATAGAATACATATATTTCAGGTTGTTATTTTGTCATTATGTTTAATGTTTTATTTACCTTTTAGTATTTTTATATAGTATCTGAACTTTGGAGAGGAGTTGGGAGACACACGACACATCAAATCACATCTACAGATCAAGGCGAAGCGAATGGAAGTACTCCCATACTCCTAGCGTGAAAATGTTTGTGAAAACGTGTGCAAAGTCTCCGAAAATCCTAAAAATAAGCTCATATTTGAATTCATCATAAAAAAACACATCATTCAGTAAAAACAAGGCCCCACTGATCATCTACTCTCTGAGACGATTCCAGGGATGTCTGGCTTGAGTTTCGACCACCAGGGAAAGTGGACAAAAGTGCCCGAGATCAGCCTCTTAATTTACCCAGGGCTTAGTGCTTGGATTTGGGCATGAAAATTCAGGAAACTCCCCTGAGTATTTTATTAAATATCTGAACTTTGGAGAGGAGTTGGCACATCAAATCACACGACACATCAAATCACATCTACAGATCAAGACGAAGCTAGTGGAAGTATGTTCATAGCGTGTGAAAATGTTTGTGAAAAACGTGTGCAAAGTCTCCGAAAACGGAGCAGTGGCTGTGAAGCTAGCTTTGCGGCTAGCGGTTAGTTGTTATTGTTTGAAGTTGTTGCTATGGAAACAACATGACGGAGAAAAAATTAATATCTTCTACATATAATAACGGACAAAGTAAAGAATGAAGTGTAGGCTATGCCTGTTTGAAGTTGTTGCTAAGGAAACAACATGACGGAGAAAAAGTATAATCTTCTACATATAATAACGGACAAAGTAAAGAATGAAGTGTCGGCTATGTTTAAATGTTCGGAATTTGACCGTGATGGCCCTCTTGAGTTGCCGTAAAATATGACAAATATGACGGATGCGACGGAAATACACCCGAACATATCTGGTAGCCCGAACATATCTGGTACTGACACAGGGAGCGAGTATTGCCATGACGTGCAATACGGAGTGATAGGTCTACCTGTCTGAATTTGCGCTAAGCTTAATTTGAATTATCAAACAGGAAATTAGCCGAGGATTCAAAACTCTGTCAGTCTGCCTCGAGTTGACCTGTTATTTTATAACCCAGAGCACAGTCTGAGCTCCTGGCCTGTGATATATCCTGAAGATGTTTTTTATTATAACATCAAATAACCACTCTGTATCTTTATACCTGATATTGATTCGCTTTAATAACACACACACAACATTTATAAAATTGTATTCCGCAGAATCAAAAGAGTATTTTTCATAAAAAACATGTTGCTTTTTTTTAACATTGAGAATAGTTCATATTGACTCATTAATATCTCATTACGCGGTGATGGGCAAGATTACCATGGAAATAAGGAACAGAATAATGCACATTCATATCTGGTCTATTGCTTATATTGTCTTGAAATTTTTTGTTTCCATCGTGTAAAAGTCAACATTTACATACTATCAGTATTCATTTATTTTGGCTATCACACAGTATATCTTTTTTTTAATAATAAATAGCACAGAGACCAGAGTTTTTTGTTTTTCAGACGTTTGCCTCCCTCCAGTGTTCTCTGAGTGAACTGCAGGCTGACCAGTAACCTCTCACTGATGTGGGTGAATTAGATTAGATTAGATGTATTGTCTCCAGGGGGAAATTCCTTTTCACAGCACTGTACGCAGTATACATGAAATATATAAATAACAAACAATGACACCGACAACAACAGATGGTGACACACATGGCAGTTACATTTAGCGAGGCCTGTTATTAATGGCAGAAATGGCTGCCGGAACCAAGCTTTTTCCAAAGCGAGCTCTTTTATGTCTGAGTGTTCTGTACCTGCGTCCGGATGGCAGTGGGGCGAGGTACTGATGAGTGGATGTGTGATGTCCAGTTCTATTGTGAATGCGATGCGTGAGATGGCCCTGTTGTTAAGTATTGTGAGGTTGAGTGTGGGGAGTCCAATTATCCTGGCAGCAGTGTTGGTGATGTGTGTGAGTTTTGTCCAGTTGGTGACAGTGAACATATTGAAAAAGCAGGCGGAGCAGTACATGAGGATGGGTTGATAATGCTTTGATACAGTACAATGCAAGGTGTGAGAATAACAAAGCAATATCAGATGGGTTTATTTTGTTTCTTTTTATTTTATTTACAATGTTAAACAGTGCAGCCAAACATAAAATAAATAAAACACTTTGTCATGACCAAAAATAGGGAAGGGGGGGGGGGGGCAGAACAGCATCAGGAGCTTCATGCAGCTAATACAAGATTGTCCAGCAATACCTTCAAAAACAAGCTGACTCTTCATGCTTTACAGCCACTTCATCGACCCAAATTAGATCCAAAGAAAGTTCGTCTTGCTCCTTGCCAACATGTCCTGCTCTTCTTGAAATATTCTTTCCTCTCTCCATGTTGGTTAAATGTTAGAGGGACTTTTTTATTATCCAGAGGTGTCAGCCACTTTTACAACAAGGCACTTGTCCGCAGTTAGAAATGTCAGTACTGAAATGAATGTACCATCTTACTCCGGCTGCTGTGACTGTAGTACAGTACCAGGAACAACGCAACAAGCAGGTTAATATAATCCAGCTAGGCAGTTTTATAACTATTTTATACAAAGGTTATCATGTCTTCTGGTGAAATGTTTTCACATTTCAGTCCAAATATAAATGGAAGTTGTTGAAAACCTTATAATAATAGAGTATCTCATTCACTCTTACATTATAGGCTGTAATTTGAGACCACGTTTTCACACATAATCATTTTATAAACTGGCTTATGAATTTAAATGCTTACACTGTAAATGTTCAGGCCATATTTTAAATATTGCTCTGCTTTCATTACATACATGTTTATAGGCTGTTATAGGTTGTATTGTTCTTATTCAAGTTCACTCAGGCAGTAACCTATTGATGTACAGTACATTTGACTGACATATAAACAAAAACTATAATGACGTAAAAATGCATTTCGTTTCCTTGAATGAAACCCAGACACATTCAGTGTTCTGCAACATAAAACTTCACTGATATCTTACATACTGACATGTTTACAATGTCCACCAGTGCTAAACAAAATCCCCAAAAATCATTTATATAAAAAAGAAGCATTTTTTTCCATTGCCCATATTAGTCGTCAGTCTTACAGTAGTTAAGGCAAAAAGTAGTCTTCGTCACGGGCAGTGTCTTCTTCATCAACAATGTCCAGTGTGTCTGTATGCATCTAATATTATACCGTATGTTTGTGCATTCATGCATGTCTTTGAGTTGTGATTTTCTGTCCTCATTTTGTCCTCAGGAAAACAGTGAAGTTCATGTGTCCTTCTTTCTGAAGGCTGTTAGTATTTGGAGCTGCTAGACTGGTTCTGATACTGTTGTTGGCCTGCAGTAGTAACTGTTGCACACTGATATAGATGCACAGATTAAATAGACTATGCAAGGCCAGCCATCAGTGGGCTACAGAGAGTATAGATCCAGTCGCAGTGCAACAGGCCATAAGTATGCAAGTACTGACACAGTACAGAGTGCACAAGATGTCACGATCTCAGTCTATGTTCACCATTTTTAGTCCGTTAGTTCCAATGCAAAGACAGAATGAGTGCCACACATGGTGATTTGAATTAATGCAGTCAGTCAGTGCTTCAAAGCGAGTTATGAGGTCCGGTCGCTCCAGTGCGTGGCCCATTCCTTTTTATGGACAACTCCTGACTTCTCAGTCTGGAACTGTGGCCGGTCTTCGCGAGGAATCTTCACCGCGTGGTACTGAGGCAACTTGTCTTTGTAGTGGGCCCGCTGGAAGAAGCCACACTGTGGGCAGAGGAAAGAGGAAAACAGGGAGGAGTGCAGATAGAGGAAGACAGGGAGGGAGAGACAGAGAGACAGGACGGAAGGAAAAGACAAATTAAGTCATATATAGTTATTGCAAATTCCACACAAATTGCATGCATTTGTTTGCAATTATTTCATTTGTTTAACTTCAAATGTCATGCACGAGGCGTATAACATGTAATTAGTTAAAGACTATTAGACTATTAAAGTCTTGTAGTTAATCTCAAACAGATAAAAGTGATTATCTGCTGAACTTGCGCAGTTAAAGTGACATTTTAATAAAAAGGCACCCAAAGCACATCAACATGCTCCACATTTCAAATTCAGCATCATCCTTTAGTGTCCGTGACTAACACCCGAACACGCTGCCATCAAGAAGAAGTGCCCACATTCCTGTGACAAAAACACCTGAAGATGTCAAGTGAACTTTAACACCTGACAATAATCACTTTTATGATATGTCACACAGGAGTGTTAATATACTGTATTAAAAAGCGCATTACAAGCACATCACAAAATTAGAAGTCTCCATAGACCGGTGTAGCTAGTTAATCTGCCAGGTCAACAGCAGAGGCACGACACACAGCACAGCAGGCATCTGAAAAGCCCTGACAGAGAGATGGATGGATGGTGTTCATAGGCACCAAACAATGCTAAACAATAAGAGTTTTGGTTTGATTTAATTGTGCCAATGTGTGTCAATATTTCACACTGAAATGAACACCACCAGCCACACCAAAGTGCACAACACAGCCATTGTGTGTGAATGTTTTACCGCTTGGAGGAGGAGGGGAGAGCAGGCCAAAGTGAAATATATCTTTATATTATAGTTCTGACGCCTGCTTCTCCGCCTCCGAGGGTTGGACCCCCAAGTGGGCGCGGTAGTACTCCGTGTCATAGTGCCGGCGCCGCTCACTGCGCTTGAAGAAGCCACACTGGGCAACAGATCACCAAAGGGAAAGTAAAACCGATGAGAAACAATGGGAAATGAAAGAGGAAGGGGATTTGAGTCCCAGATTGAAGTGAGAAGACACAAACAAAAAGAGATGACACACAGAGGACAAACAAAAGAGGAAAGAAACAGATGAGAGTGAGCTGGAAGTAATAAAATGATTAGGACAGAACAAAGCTGGTAGAAATAATTGGACTACCATGGAAATAAATGAGGAAAAAGACAAAGGAAGGGACAGTGGAGTGACCGGGGTGCAGTCAATCAAACTATAAAGGCCTCTTATGTATATGCTGAATGTGAATGTAATCAAGAGTGTGTGTGTGTGTGTGTGTGTGTGTGTGTGTGTGTGTGTGTGTGTGTGTGTGTGTGTGTGTGTGTGTGTGTGTGTGTGTGTGTGTGTGTGTGTGTGTGTGTGTGTGTGTGTGTGTGTGTGTGTGTGTGTGTGTGTGTGTGTGTGTGTGTGTGTGTGTGTGTGTGTGTTACCTTCCACAGTATGCAGACTAACAGAGTCAGCAGCAGGATGCCTGCCAGGACAGCTATGAGTATGATCCACCAGGGGATCCAGTACTGATCAGCAAGACCCGGCTCAGGGTAGATCATTACTGGAACCTGGAGAGGAAGGAAAAATGTAATTGTTTATATGCAGAATTGAAAGAAAAATAGTATATATACTACACCTCAGGCCTCAGTTCACATATATTTGTTATGATAATAGATTAAGAACGTTTAAATAAAATAAAGATAAATGCTTTATGAACTGATGCTAAGTACCTGTGCAGAAGCATCCTTGAGGACCAGGTGTTTGATGCTGGACTTCACAGTGATGTTGGCTCTGACCAGCAGTTCCAAAGCACTGACTGCCGAAAAATCCTGACAGACAGGATGAATAATACAATTTACAGGTTATATCACATCATATTAAAGGGGACCTATCATGCAAAATGCACTTTTGTACGTCTTTTATACATGAATATGTGTCCCCGGTGTTCCAGGGAACTCACCAAGTGTCAGAAAACACAACCCTCTCTCTTTTCCTCCATACCCAAATCTCTAAAGACGGGGCTGCAACGGATCTGATACAGACTGATCCAGATTTGAACACTGTCCTGATGTCTGGACGGTGGCGCTACGGCTATTGGGCCAACTCTCCACCTATCAGGGGAATGTGGGGTTGGGCCACGGCCAGCCATTGCTGCTCGAAAGCGCTGGAGACGCTGTAGTAGGAGACCAGGGACAGTTGCAACACGGGTCGGTTGTAACACCTTTAATATCTCCAATCACAAACAAGCTAGAGTGATGACACTCACTCTGCACATGCGCAGTTAGATGGTAAGATCGCTGAGAAAAAAAGGATCCACGTTTGAATTTCTCGCGTAAGATATCAGCAAAAGTGTGTTTCTGAGGTAAAATATTAACCAAAATGATATGATGTATTTTTTGGATACTGTCTTGAGTTCAAATGTCTAGGAATCCAAACTAGTATTATTAGAATCACTGTTTTGTAAGCTACAAATATAACTAGCTAAATATGGGTCAAGCTAGCAATCAGGCAGGTTCACAGGGGGTGGAAGCAAGACTGGTGGTCCTGGGACGGTTGTAACATGGCACATTTACAATGATGGCTCATTTGATCAATTGTTCATTCAAGCATACAGTTGTATTGTTGATTGGTGTGCATTGTCCCTGTAAAAATAAACAGAATAAAATACTGTACAGTAGGCCTAAAGTGTGTGTGTGTGTGTTTACAGTGTGCCAAATGTCAGAAAGAGGAAGACAGACAGGGGAGTGCCACTTGCTCTGCTGCAGAGGGCCTCAAATGAAGTTGAGAAGGGAAGTGGCAAAGTCCCTGGATATATGCCATGTCACCCTGTACCGGTTCCATACAAAGAGGCTGAGGTTGGAGAGTCAGGGATCACAAACACCCCCAAGAGTAGGCTACTGGACACTAAAGAAGGTGTTCTCAACAGAGCAGGAGATGCTTTTGAGAGACTACCTGATGGAGGCAGCTGATTTATATTATGGTCTCAGCTCAAAGGAGGTAGGTCTACATAATTAAGGTAGAATAGGCTATCTATACTGAACAAAAGAAAAGTAAGTGATCAAATATATTGAGGCCGATAGTGAACAGACAAGTGAAATATTTTCTCCTCCATGTTCATCCGTCCACATCCAAAAGCTGGACCAAGGAAGCTGACCACAAAGGGGAGAAAAACAAGAGAAACCGCTGTCCTCACAGACACTCCTATAAAAAATCTACTCAAGGCTGAGAAAAAAAGATCTAATGCAAAGAAGTCTAAAGCGAAGACAAAAATCAATTTCTGCAACAAAAACAAAAAAAACAACAAGAAGGAGAAGATGCAGGACTCATCTGATGAAGATGAGGCCCAATACTGCATTGTGTGCCTGGAGAGCTACTCCAGGTCCAAGGAGATCTGGCTGCAGTGTTGCTCCTGTAAAGCCTGGGCACACAAGGACTGCACAGATGGAAGTGCCTTTTACACCTGCCACAACTGTGAATTTGATTAATTCTGGTGTTCTGTTTTAAGTTCTGTTCATTGTTTGATGGAGGATGTGTGAAACCCCATTACAATCTTGTTGCCTTAGAATTTGACAGCTTTCCCTATTTTTTGTCATGTAGTGTGAAAAAAGATAACCGTTATTAACATGTTACAACCGTGCCTGGCATGTGCTACAACTGTCCCTGTACACAAGGACAGTTGTAACAGTTGAGTTTTTAAAAAAAAATACATTTTCCAACCTGTACTTATTTCATAAAAACATCTTTAATACATTCTTTCAGTAGCTGACATATTGATAATGTATAATATAGCAAAATGGCTATCCTATTGTAAATGTTTTTTTACGTATTGGGGTAAGCCCAAAAAGTGTTGCAACTGTCCCTGGTCTCCCCTACATAATCCAGGCCTGTAAGTGGCGCTGTAGTCTGCCACAAAAGCAGCGAAGAAGACATCCCGCGCATGGTTGCCCTTCTGTTTATTCTCCGCTGTGGCTCTTTTTCTCCCTCCCAAAGGCAAGCGTTTGCTCCCGCTGCTGTAATTCAATGCAATCCTTCCCCGTCGAGGCAAGCACTGTAATTCTCTCCGGTTAGTCCACCAGCAGATGACAAACACCCACTTCTCCGCCTCTTCCAAGGAACGAGGGACCGTGTGACAGAGTTTCAGCCGGTCAAGATGTCCTTTAAAGTTTAAATCTTCCGGACAAAATTAGAAAAGTGCCGGTCAAAGGTCTTCTTTGTTATTTATTGAGCTTTAAAACAAATGAATAACGACTCTATATAATAATATAATAACACACGGAGGACGGAGATCTATTTTGCTCCCCCTCTTCTGACTTGATCAGAGCACGCTCCCCTCTCCTGCAGGGGGGCGTGGTCAGCTGCAGCTCACAGAATCAGCCCCTTGCAAAAACAGGGCTCGAGAACAGCAAATAGAGCGAAATGAGGCATGGCTAAAATGCATATCTGTTTGGTATTTTGAAAACAGAAACGTATAAATATACCTTAAGGCAAGGATGCCTTCATATGAAAGTGGAAACGCTGTTGTTTTATAACTTAGTCTTTCAGTTTAAACCATCATTGATATACAGTATAATAACGTTGGCTAAAACTTTAGAAATAAGACCCATTTTAAGTAAGTAATACAGTCTGCGGCGACATCTTGATTTATTTGGCGATAAGCTAAAGACTAAACAAGAAAACTGCCATGTTGACTGTATATTTCTTGTCACAATATCATCTGAATATGTATCGGCAGCTGCCAGTTTCTCAGTGGTTGAAGCTGACAGCTGTCTTCACAGTTTTCCTACTGCCTTCACATCAAAGCTCTTGTTAATCATCCTGTAAATGCACTTGCTGCAGTCATCATTCATTCGCTTCACATGTGAGTGCCGGCAGCAGTTGCAAACAGCTGGACTGAAGCTAAGATGGAGAGTAATGTGCAGTGAGATGCAGATGTAAAGAGGACAGGTTTTTACCTCTATAAAGCTGCTGTTCCACAGTCTGGCATGGATCTTGAGGACAGCCTGACCAGAGAAGCTGTGGAGGGGACACTGCAGCAGGACACAGCGAGCGGACCCCAAGAGACAGTCCTGGAGAAAGTGGTGACAGTTTAGCACTGTAGGATTTATTTTTTCAAATTAACTGGTGACAGGTGTAGGCAGCAATATTTTCCTTTCCCTCTTACCAGTTTGAGCGACTTGCGTCTCTCCGAGGCTGCCACAGCTGGCGTGGTTCGTCTCACGCTGCCTTTTGTCGTCATTGGACCTTCCTCCTCTGGGTGGGAGCGGCGCGTTCGCCCAGCCTGGTGGAAGTGACACATACATACAAGCAGAGATTAATCAGCCTCCTTTGATTAGTCATGTTTGACATTAAACATGACATTGACACGATGTACTGTATGTAACACAGGAGGAAAATGTTTCAGCCATGACAACGACACATTAGTTTATATGCAGTTGCATCCACAAAATATGGTATGTATACAGTATATTTTGTAAGGAAAGGATTGTTTTTGTCATTGTTAGAGTTTATTGAAGGATAAAAGTGTTTTCATAAACTGTGTTTTCATAATGTATTCTCATTGCTGTGTTACAAGGAGTGTTAATGGAGGAACAAAGAAGAGTCTGTTTAAAATGGCACACATACACACACACACAGATTCACATGACTGACAGTCACAAGATCCACACTAACAAATAAGGCGTTGGTCAAGACCACATGATTGTCTCATGTTACTGTTTGTTGAAATAAAAAGACTGCACTGAGAGAGTTGGTGAGAGTTGGTTCTCCTAGCTGAGAGTTGATTCTCCTAGCTGAGAGTTGGTTCTCCTAGCTGAGAGTTGATTCTCCTAGCTGAGAGTTGATTCTCCTAGCTGAGAGTTGGTTCTCCTAGCTGAGAGTTGATTCTCCTAGCTGAGAGTTGGTTCTCCTAGCTGAGAGTTGGTTCTCCTAGCTGAGAGTTGGCTCTCCTAGCTGAGAGTGGATTCTCCTAGCTGAGAGTTGGTTCTCCTAGCTGAGAGTTGGTTCTCCTAGCTGAGAGTTGATTCTCCTAGCTGAGAGTTGATTCTCCTAGCTGAGAGTTGGTTCTCCTAGCTGAGAGTTGGCTCTCCTAGCTGAGAGTTGGTTCTCCTAGCTGAGAGTTGATTCTCCTAGCTGAGAGTTGATTCTCCTAGCTGAGAGTTGGTTCTCCTAGCTGAGAGTTGATTCTCCTAGCTGAGAGTTGGTTCTCCTAGCTGAGAGTTGGCTCTCCTAGCTGAGAGTGGATTCTCCTAGCTGAGAGTTGGTTCTCCTAGCTGAGAGTGGATTCTCCTAGCTGAGAGTTGGTTCTCCTAGCTGAGAGTTGGCTCTCCTAGCTGAGAGTGGATTCTCCTAGCTGAGAGTTGGTTCTCCTAGCTGAGAGTGGATTCTCCTAGCTGAGAGTTGGTTCTCCTAGCTGAGAGTTGGCTCTCCTAGCTGAGAGTTGGTTCTCCTAGCTGAGAGTTGATTCTCCTAGCTGAGAGTTGGTTCTCCTAGCTGAGAGTTGGCTCTCCTAGCTGAGAGTGGATTCTCCTAGCTGAGAGTTGGTTCTCCTAGCTGAGGGCCGATTCTCCTAGCTGAGAGTTGGTTAAGGAGTTGACATGACATGTCACTCGCTGATTCTCCTTGCAGCAAGTAAACTTGAAACTCGAGTACTGTTATCTTTGTTCACTGGGTTTTGGTATATTTGAACCGAGCTGGGGTTTACCCTTACAAAGTAATAGAGATACCCCACAGTCATCTACCACATCAACACATTTTCAGCACAAATTCTTGAATTCACCAAGTCAGAAACACCAGAATGTGGACCAAATAAATAGTTTTTCTATTGTATGGTATTGTTTTATTAATGGCATAAAACTAACAATAATACACATTTAAAAGCCAAAATAAAACAATCGACTGCACCTTCTGTGGCCATTAAGTGGATTGGTGGTGTCGTATAGATTTCCTTGCACATTAGTCAAATAAACTGTGCTCTGCTTACCCTTATATTAACAGCCTGTTGGAGTCCTGCAGGTGAAGAAATGGGTAGCTTCAGAGGATTTAAGGCCCCCGTTGAGGTGCACTGTGTTTCTGGGTGACCCTCAAACTTCATGCTTGCGGGATACAGGAGCCATTTCTGATTAGCCAGCTCGTAAGGCCACATGATGTTGAGGAAGGCCGAACCAAGCGTCTGCAGAGCTTGTCCGGTATTAATCACCTGATGTAAAAAATATATAAAAGAGATTATATTAGGATGTGGGACTTCTTTCAGCATTGATGCCTATCAAAATAACACACGCACACACACTAGTTCCTCACCACAAACTCAAAATCCACAGGGCTGCCGATGTCCTCCAGACTGGCCATGGCACTCTCTCCCCTCACTGTCCCGCTGAAGAACAGCTGGTGAGGACGAGCAAGCCTACCGTAAAACACATTCACATCAAGGGGTCAGACAGCTGCACACATTCACAAAGCTGCATAAAGCATACATGCATTGCACCGAAAACCTCAGTTAACATTTCTGATGAGATCTGAACGATTCTAAAAGATACAAGCTAAATGTTGTGGAATGTGATGCACACAATATATAGAATATACCAGTGTAAACATCACATAACGTCTATAAAAAGTTGTAAAAGGCTGATTCATAATAACATAACTTTAGCAAAACGTATAATAGCAACCTTTCCTAGCCTCATACAGTAAAAGAAAAAGGTTTCACTCACCCACTGACAGACAGAGGGAGCTCTATCACAACTCTAGCAAAAGCTGTGACTGGTACCAGATCGGGTTGCTCACTGATACTGAGGACAAAACAACAAAACACTGTCATCAAAGGGTTATTTGGCCTGAACAAGGCAAATATTAGCACTTACAGTATATAGAGCTCGATGCGCTTGATGTCGTGAAAATACATACATACTGTATACATCATGTTTTCAAGAGAAACATTTTAGAGGACTTACGTTGTCAAAGCGAGATCTGCTGTCAACTCAGTGGTCTCAATTGTAATGTTTGATGTGCTCAAGTTGATGGAGAATTTAAGCTGAAATAGCAACAAATGAAATATAAATGATATGTGACAATAACAACACATAATTTCTCTGCTGAAATTATACAAATCTGAAAATATATGAAATTATCTAAAAACATAATACTGTATATATTTTTCCACCACAAGTTACATATTTTTTTCCTGATTTCTCCCCATTTCCCCAAAGTTTTTGCACTTTAGTTTTTATTACACATTGGTAATTTGGAGTTGAATGGGTTAGAGACAGGTGACAACAAGAAGCAAAGGGCTACGTGTCTGAATTCACACTGTTTTGTTTTCGTACCTTAGTGTCGCGTTTCACAGGGTTTCCGAGGTCACATTCGACTTGGGAGCCATTCTGGTTTGCCTGGCATCTAATCTAGAGACAGATAGCATATCAAAAAAATACTATCATTAAAAACAGATATCCAAACATACTTGGTAAAAAAAGATTGTTCTTAATAGAGCAGATACCTGTGGTGGGATCCTTGAGCCGGCGTAAGACAAAGTGTTAGGGAGGGAGATGAGCAGCTGAGCGGCGTGGGCGTCGTCTCCGTCCTCCTCGGGGTGCTCAGGGTCAGAGGGCGTGTTGGTGACAGTGATCTCCAGCACCACCAGCCGATGGTCCGACAGCGAGAACACCTGCACTTCATCGTCATCTCTACATGAGGAGAGAGGGGAAAACACAATGAAAAAACAACATCATTGCACTTTGAAGTAATCCAACATGATTGTCTCCTTTATGAGTTGGATAAAAAAGATATGCACCACCTTATAATAAGTCAAACCTTTGAGCATATCATTCGTTTAATTCCTATTTTCAAGACTCTCTTCACGAGCACTTTTTACATTTAAAGCTAGTTTTAAAAAATATATCTGTTTGAAAGTGATTTAAAATGACGGTATGATAACCTTTCAAAGGGACATAGCACCCTTTAAGTGTCTTAAAGGATTGAAATTGAAATAATAGGGCTTAGTATAAAGCCAACCATATAAATTGATAAATCCTTTAAAGATAACGTTCCTTAATATTATCCTGTACCAAAAGATAAATAAAAAAAACATGACATTTAGAATCCAGTGAACGCCAGGATAACATCCATTATACGGTAAGATAAGATCTGAGTATTGAAAGGCATCGAGCAAATGTTTCTGGTTGATGCTCGTTCAACATCAAAACAATTGTACACACATTATAAAAACAGACACACATGAACGTTTGTGTTGGTGTCCCTAGGCAACAGTGTAGCCAACACAGAGTGGGCTGAGCAGACACTTACTTTGGCAGCGGGGTGAAGAGGTCGGAGGTCAGGGGTCTTGTTCCAAACTGGTAGCTCAGCTTCAGGTTGCTCTGGCAGATCTTGTCGCTGCCGCATCCTTCTCGCAGGAAGTTCACCTTCAGACGGTAAAAGAGGAAGACGTGAAGTAGTTTTTTAAAATCTCAAAACACAATCTTCGTCTACTGTCAGCTTTTTAAAACAAGATTACATTTTTGTAGAATGGTAAATACTGAAATGGTGCATTATACAAAACATTTTGATTGCATTTAAAGCTGAACATGGAGCCAATAATACATACACAAAGTGTATTTAATTTATTTTGATTTCCAAATCTTGGATAGAACAAGACACTTAAAGTTGTTACCTTTAACTTTAAGAAACAAAGTAAGTGGTTGAGAAGAAATTGTATTTTTGTCAATGTTAACCGCTTGCAGCCCTAGTTGCATTACACATTTTAATCATAATGCATAACATCTCTATTAAGCAGAAATATAAGAAATTAAGGAGAAAAACGAAAACAAATGAAGCAATACATGTCTTAGACAAACGTTTAATTCTACATGTTTATCAATGTTAATGTTCTAAACATAAATTGTCAGCTAGGTTTGTTTGTATGTAATATTTGAGACTTTAATAAGCCATGACAAGTTTGAATTACATAAGAATTAAACCGTTGATAGGAAGTTTTTCATTTCTGTATAATCTAATCTACATGCAAGTGTGGCCCATTAAAATGAATCAAGACAGTAAAATACTTGAGCTTTCTTTTGTTACAGACCTCAGAGTGCAGCGTATTGGACGGGGAAACACTCAGAACAGGCGCCAGCTTCTCCAGCTTCTTGGCACCCGAATGTCTGCGGGGGGGCACAGACTTGATCTCGTGGGTTATCGCCAATGAGATGGGGCGCAGTTTATCAAGGATGTTATCCTGCATGGACAGAGATTTGAACCAAATATAACAAAAACATTTGGTCAAAGAGTTTGTTTATGGTGTGAAAGAGTGGAGATATAGCAATTTAACTTTATAGTAAAAATATTGAATGTAAATTAAATTCAGTACAAATGGTAGAATGTTAAAAACATGCAATATACTTTTACCATTTGTATTAAGTTATTATTATGTTTCCACCACTTTTGAATGCAAAAACGAAGATCAAAAACCACCTGCTATTGTTAACAAATAACTCAAACTAAGTACAAATCCCTTATTCCACTACCACAACAGCTGTGGTTGATGAATTGTATCTGGACAACACAAACAGATCTAAGTTACTGACATGGAGCTGGAAGGTAGCGGTGGTGCACACAGGGTGTCGCTGCCGATGGAGCTCCACCTCTTCTGTCTGAGTATACTCCGGCTCCAGGGAACTGCGTCCCAGGAAGTTAACACGGTGTGGGAGGCCCAACTTCCTGCGCTCGGTGTCAGCTTCAAAGTGCACCACCAGGGCTGGATGGGAGTAAAAAACAACAAGAGAGAAGGAAAAAATGTCAGGACACACACATAGAGCTGTTAAAGAGCCCACCAGGGACAACACATAGATGAAGCCCCATCAGAGGGAATACAGTATTACACAGCTGTGATTTTTATCAAAATAAAGTCTAATGTTACTCCACAGATAAGGTTGCTTTTCACTGTAAATAGAAATGACTTCCGTCCCACTTAAGTGACGAACAAAAATGGTCTTGGAAAGCGAGGAGTGACTTACTTATGTGCGGGGAGTAGTGTTCTGGGTGGGCTGTGAAGGTGAAGCAGGCCTTGACCTCCACGCTAAAAAAGGCAGACAGTGGAAAGCGTAAATATGTATATCTGTCATACAGTAGTTTAACCACTACATATGATTGAGATGATCCATTAAATCATAGAGAAAAACGTAATTGAAAAGAAGAATGCGTCCCAATATAAGCGCTTACCAGGCTCCCTCTCGGCCCTTGCAGTTATGCTGCTCCAGATCAATGTACTGAGGGTCGATAGATACTTCTCGGAGCACATGGATGACTGGGCGAGACCTTGGGATAGATAAAAAACACAAGAGTGTGTCAGGTAGAACACATTATAACTTAATTGTGGTTTCATTGTGAAGAAAACTGCAAGTAAACATGCAAGATTTATGATAGAGCTTTTATTTTGTGTGCTTCTTGAGTGTCTGCTTTGATTTGGAATTGATCAGATGTATCAACAATAGGATATTTAACATTGAGCTTTTATATTTCAAATGCATACCAAGTAAAGTATCTTGTTCTGTTTTTCTAAATAAATCTCACCTGAAGAGAACCACTGAGTCATTAAGAGAGCCCACGGCTATATCTGGGTAGTGGTTACTGTCAATATCCAAACCCCCTGAGATGGAGTATCCAAATCGTCTCACATCAAAGTCACGACCATCGAGCACCTGATGGTACAAAAACAAAAATCATTCATCATAGTTGAAGATTTAAAAACTAATAAATAAACCATGTACATCACATAATGATGGAAAATTGGTACTGTCCCTCTTGTATTCACTTATTCTAAATGTATACTGACAGTGGCGGCCGGCCCATAGGGGCGCTAGGGGCGCCGCCCCACCTCTTCCCACATACAAAAAAATATTATATTTTTAATGAACAAGGTAAATATCATACAATTGGTATCAGTAAAATGTATAATCTACAATAAAATCTCGTTTAAAATTGTGTTACGATGTCTAAAGTTACTGATAAGTCACATGTTTCCTGCCTGGCCTTGCCCGTGGCATTAGTTTATCATTACCGGGCGCCGTGCAAGGAGCCCCCGAGCCAAACAGCAGCAACCAGCATGTTGCAAAAGTCTCAATAGTAAACTGTGCCGCCGAAACATAATTTCAGCCAATCAGCGCCGTCAAATATTTTGGTCACGAGGGCGCTCACATTGGTGACCAAGGTGACGCAGTAGTTGGATGAGAATGGCTTCGTGTGCAGGTGGAGTCGCCGGACCTCGGTCCGCACCCAATTCCGTGCAAGAGCTACTCTCCAATCCTTTCGAAAGGAGAAGTTTGGGAGATAAATTGATACTTAAAGACCTTGGACCGGACCAACCCGATTTGTATATATCGCAGCAAGCTCGTGAAAAAGACAAAACGTATCAACGAGGCTTCTCACGTAGCTGGTACACCAGAAAGGCATGGCTAGCTGGATGCAAACAGGTAAATGCTGTCTTTTGTTTCCCATGCTTGCTCTTCAAACAGCCGGGGACAGATACGATCTGTTCAGAAACTAGACAAAAGTTAAACAAGTACAAACCACAGACTGTCTGTGTCATGGAGAATACAGTCACTGGTTTATTTATGTCTATATAGGCCGTTGTTGTGAGTGTGGACGGTCGGAGCATATATAACGTTAGCTTAGCCAAGCTCCATTTAGAAAACACGCATTTTAAAAGGGTTTTTCGCCTGCCGTCTGTCTGCAGACTTGTCAAAGCGTTAATTCATGGTTTTTACTAACCGGTATCAGTATGTTGTTAATTCGGCATCATTTTTAAACGTGTATTACAATTAAATCACGGTAAAATATGTTCATCTTGTTGTAGTTGTAGCCCCCTTGCCAGCGATTCTCTCTCTAGTTTAGCATACTCAGCCCGACTCAACCTGGTTGTTCCTGGCCCTAGAACCACGATTTTATGGGGCCAGAAAAACTGTGAATTAGGACCCGCTAGCCGGTACTAGGCCAAGTGGAAACGCAACCAAATACGGGCGCCGCACGGCTCGGCACGCTTAAAGCGAGCTCCGCGCTGCACTGGAAACGCGCCATTACATCACCAGAAGTCCTAATTTAAGGGGTCATTTCTCCCAAAAAAAATGTTTACTCACTATATCAACAGCCCCACCAAAAATATTTTCCTCCAGCCGCCACTGTATACTGCACTATTCCTTTTATATTCTTCATTTTATATTAACTTTCAATCTCTTGGTTCATTCCTAAACTGTCTAAAACTCACCTGAGCTGGCTTTGTTTCAATTCCAGCATCTGAGCCTCTGTAGATGAACACTTTGCCATCTCCATCAAACGGTGCCCCAACAGCAATATCTGAACAGATATGGAAATCATTGTTAAAAACAAACATTCATTTAGTTAGCTACAGTTTACAACTGAGTAGTTTAAAACCAACACAGTATTAAAAGTGGGAAAGAAGGGACACTTTCTTTTATTATATTATATGTGAAACTGAGTTAAAGTATAACCCACAGCAGTAACTTGTGCATGTTTTTTCTGACTTAAATTTCGTAGTTCTTTTTTAATATACATATTTAATGTCAAACTCTTACATACTTTATCAGTGTATGGGATTTTGGGTTGTTCTCACCTCCGTACCCGTCCTGGTCCAGATCACCGATGTTGCTGACTACAATTCCAAACATGGAGTCGTAGGTCCCGTTGAGACGGATGGGTCGGGAATGATCGTCCCAGTGACCGAAGGGGTTCAGGTACACGTACACAGCCCCTCCAATCTCTGCCTTACGGTCAAAGAAGTTAGGAGCTCCAACAATCAGGTCTGTCCAGCTAGGAACAGGAACAGAGAGTCAGAAGATGTCTTTTAATTCAAGTTCTTAGAAGCCAAGAAAACCTCTTATCCAAAACCAAAAGTACTATTTGAAGGTACTTGTACTTTACATGTATATCTAATTTCTTGCAACTTTATACTTCTGCTCCACCACATTTACAAGTGCAAATGTTGTACTTTCCTCCCCACTACATTTATTTCACAGCTGTATGGTTGCTTGTTACATTTAGATTAAGATTTTACAGTACATATAAAAAATGTGCAATAACCTTTAAAATATGATGAATTGTCATATTTTCAACTACTTAAAATGTGATAAAGTTTTTGAATTAGCTTTACCTCAACCATACAGTAAAGTACTGTAATATAAATTAATCCATGATTCTTCCAAAATGTTGAACTTAAAGGGGCCATTGTTTCTAATTAGTATTTTTGAGGTAAATCAGCTGAAAATATTTGTATTTGAAAAATAAAAATGACAGGAAAACTTCTTCAACAACTGAGCAGTATTATCTATTAAACAATTATCATCAAGCATGTCCTCACCCATCCCGGTTCAGGTCCGTTGTAGCAACGGAGTACCCAAATGACGAGGCCAGCTCCTCGCCCCAGATGATGTGTTGTGGCACCAGCCGGTACACGTTGTCTTTTTTTAGCAGCACTACTGCCCCCGTGTGATTGGCCCGAGGTGCACCTGCCACGAAGGTCAGCTCCCTGAGGCTTATTATCCCCATGGCAGAGTCCACAGAAAACCCTGGAAGACGGAGGTCAGGACGGAGGAAAGGGTCAGCGGTTAGTATTGACCTCAGAGGCTCTCCTCTCTGTGTAGCATGTTCTGCTCATCTTCTTACTAATGAAATGTGTGCCTTAAGTGACTATTGATTTTATGCCAGACTCATGATGGGTGTAAATGTCCTGTGTGCATGTGTTCAAAGGCGCATGTAGCTGGAGGCCTGCGATTGGTTGTGTGTCCACTGGTAAGAGCAGAAAAGGCGGGTTGTGATGTTAAGAGAGGGAGATGTATGGGGCTTTGCCTAATGTCCCGTGAGATTCATGATGCTACTGCTCTGTATCAGTGCCTGAAGTCAAGGCAGGATGTAAACATAGTGGATGGACGTCAATCAGATTTATAACCTAAAGCATCCTTCTTTTGTGTGGAAGTGTGGGTCTTCATGTGTGTGTTTCTGTGTGTGTGTTTAGAGGAATGTGTGCATAATTCAGATGGAGCAAAGTGACCAAGTGAAAGGGGGAGGGGTTAGTGTGTGTTTGTGTGTGGGTGTATTAGCTTCATGACAAATTGTGAAATATTCTTATAAAGCTGTGAAAAATAGCACATCATATCAAACATTTTCCCTAAATAGAAGCAACCACATGCAATTTGCCTCACTTGTTTCAAAACATGCAGAGGATAGGGTGTGAAATCATCTATGATAACATGAGGGGGGGCATCTGTTAGTGCTGAGTAAACATGCAGGGGGAGACGGGACAAACAGTGAGCAGCTCCAGGGTGGCAGGTGAGGAATGCAACACTGTGCATCTCAAGTCCTGTAAAAACCCACGGACAGAGACAAAATGTGTTGCTATTCCACACCGGGCGGCTCTATACAACTAAATGGGGAATAAAGGCTTAAGGCAGTAAAAGGCCCCCTGCAGGTGTTTACACACAAACATGTTGTGTGTTGTGTATTGTATATACTGTTATTCTGTCCTTCAGTGCTACTTTTATATAATCTACTGTCTTCTATTGTTTTTCTTATTTTTGTTTATTTCTTTATGCCACACTAATATAATGATTTGAACTGTTAATACATCGTCAGTGTGTGTTGATGGAGAAAGCTGCAACTGCATTTCATTTTTGCAAGCCTGAGCTATTTCATCACAATGGAGCTACAGTACACATTATTTAAATTATTGCTTTTTGTTAAATCAAATATAAAACACCATATTACAATTTTTAGAAGCACTTACTTGAATCCAATCCTCTGGAAGGTGTATCCTTAATAACCCATGTTGAGTTATAGATAACCTTGTCTTTACAACTAAGCAAATAATTAATTAGCATTAATATATATACATTTCCAAATTGTATTATCAGTGCGCTCTCAGAGCAAAGATTGCCATTTATTTGAAAAGGGTACTGTCTTGTCACAGTCACACAATCTATCAATTGTTAAAATTATGTATTTACTCTTTACCTTTGTTTCTGTTTTATCCTACCAAATTTGTAAATACATTTTTGCAAATTGCTAGAAATTATCACTGTTTTTTCCATTCAATTTTTTCACACTCAAGCTAAATAAAGTCCAAACTAAATTAAGTAAAGATCATGATGATTGCTTTGACCAGAGCAGTAGATGTTACACATTGTATAGGATCAGACTGTATTTTCTCATATTGTCTTTATCTGTAAATGGAAAACTGGACCACATTTTCCAAGGATGTTGCACTTGGATACAGCATTAGACCTCCAAACACCCTGCAATAAGCAAGACTTTATTTTCTGTTCTCTCTGAAAGGATTTGATTTGGCCTTGGTGGAGATAAAAAGTATGGATATTTTTATTTTCAGCTCTTTGTAACATAATTTATGGTTGAAGCCACTATATATGAAAAAATAATCCTTTGATAAGTCGGATTCAAAGACGGTTAGGAAATAATATCATGAATATCTAAACACTGCCTCTATCATTTCAGTAAGCATGCAAAGGTGTGGCATATCATCTGGTTAGGATCAATGGAACATGTGAGTAAAAGGTCATGTGGGAATTAGCGTTGTCAAGGAGACGGCTCAATGTGGAGAGCGGCAGGGTAAGCAGGCTTGGAGGTATGTGAATGAAAAGATTTATGGTAGATCCACACACTTAGTGAAAAGTAATAACTGGAACAATAAAACAGCTTGTGTTAAGCAGGCGAAGAGTCTTCACACATGGACACTGAATACCTAGAGATTTGTAATATATTGTAACAAAACAATCTTTACTCCACCACTTGGATCCAGACTGAAATATCTCAACAACCTTTGGATGAGTAGCCATTTTTAAATACATGCATGGTCTCCAGAGGATAAAGGAGGGCATTAATGGTTTTGAATGTAATGCATCTGCAATTATTATATTGATGCTTTGACATGTTGTTCACACATTGATGATACCCTCAGGATTAATAGTAATGATGGAAACCTCTAAAACTAATGACATTCACTTCACACTCGGTTGTACTTTTTAGAGCTAATGTTAGCGTGCCAACACACTAAACTAAGAAGATGAACGGTGTAATCATTATACCGGCTAAACTACCACTTTGCCAAGTACAGACTCTCAGAGCTGCTAGCATGGAGGTACAATCTTTGTTTTGTTTGTTAGTTGAGTTTTTCTGTATCATTAAAGCGATTTAGTAAATCTATGACTGACAAGAAAACCACCACCAACTGGAAAGCTTCTTACCCACACATGCAGACTGACTGAACACACTACAGACAACAGATATCTACAGACAGAACAGACAAACACCCCGCTGCTACTCAAACAGACAACCATCGCACTGCCATTGACAAATCAAAAAGCTATAAACAAAGAGGAAAAGATTATCATAAATGAAATTGAATTAAGTTTAATTAAATTAGAATAAATTAAATGAAATAGTTTAAAAGTGGAAAAAATGCAGTTTTAGATGGCTGTCTCTTTATAACAGTACAGGTGATAAGGTCCCATGTAGTACATCAATTACACACTAAAAAACTATCTGGAATTAGCAGAAAAGATTGAGACGAAGACGGAGGAAGACGGAGGACTACTTCCACTACAAGCCCAATCCGGTCCGAACAAAAACACTGCACGCCTACAAACCTAAGTAGCTATTATGAGCTACATCCTCAAACGCTGTAGGCCGGCTGGAGGGCTCCAGAGTTTTGTACAGCAGTGCATCTTCAATCGGGCTAGCCATGAACAAGAGCCCTATGGCCCAAAACAGGAAAAGAAAGACAGAAAGAAGAAGAGAAGGATGAGTGTAGGAGGGGAGTGATGGGGTGGTGAAATGGTGAGGGAGGGAAAAAGAGTGAAAAGAGTGGAAAAAAGGGGGGAGAGGGAGGTGCAGGTGAGACAAGCTGTGATTGATTGACGTTTTGTCTTTGTGGTGCCGCAGAGGTCCTGCAGAACCGCTGGCCACCTGGTGGAGAGACAACGTTTCAGGCTCAGACTGCACTCTCATTGATGCTACCACACCCTATTCAACATCTTGACTTGCTTTACTTTGTTTTGAGAAGAGGGCAGTGGATGGAAAAAGGATAACGTCATTGTTATTGGGATGATTTCTTTTTTGGCGGTTCATATTTCCCTTGAGAGTGAGAAAGGCTACTGGCATCATAAGAATTAAGGTCAGGCCGCAAAAAGCTATTGACATTTTTCACATGTCCACCCACATTCACATGGTAGAGCCCTACAAAAATGAGGAGGAGTTACATTCAGGGCTCTCTGAGTCACAGATAGGCTCATCCAGAAATAATCCACAGGGAATGAGCAGTTAGAGGCATTTTTGGCAGCTGCTATTAGCCCCCTTGGTTTGGGCGGCCATGTTGGAGTGCAGCCTGAGCCGTGGTGTCGCCCTCCACCGGCCCTCTCTCTCTCTCCTGTGCACAGGCAGCAGTGAGCAGGGAGGGCGGATCCTACCCAGGTAACTGTGGTAGGGCAGAGGGATGAGCTGGGCATTAAGTTGTTTCTGATCTGCCACCTCGTAGGGCCCGTCGTCGTAAAAACCGAGGTCAAGCAGAGTCTGGTTTAGGAGCTGGACACGCATCTCACCTGGAATGGAAACAGGTGAGGGCACAGCAAGCACACACACAGCAGATAACAGAAGACAAACACACTTGTGCGATTTGTTGCATACTTGCACACATGGCAAGTCCAAATTATCAGTATGTACACTAAGTCATTGTAACATGTTTAGTTAGTCTACAATAAAATCAACATCCTTAACCATCTTACACTAACCACAAATTATACACATGTTCAACGTTGGGCATAAATAAAAAAGTATTTTGAAGGAGGAAAGTGTTTACAATATAGGAATGATTGTATGTTGTCATTTTAAATTTCGAGCGAAATAACATTAGAACAATGTGATATGTATGAATTGTGTGAATCATTAGCATTGATCTCATGTGGCGAACAAAATAAATCAATCCAGTATATGATTACCGCCTACTTTGATTAAGTGCACACCACTTCTCTGCATAATGTCTGTTTCCAATCACTAGATTGGTTTATTAATCAATTCAATGTTCAATTCCTAACAGTATAGTTATCCTAATAGTGTGTTTTAATTACACACTTTACAAGGATTGGCTCTATTCCATAGTTCACATGAATTGCAGTAAAGTACTATTTAATTAATTTGATTGAAAAATGTCATAAAATCACTCAGATTTACATTCATCCTTGTGATTCAGATACAAAATGAAACAATGCATGTCTAAATATCTTTTTCTTGCTGCCACCTAGTGCACAAACACATTTTTTTTGCAACTTTAAAACTGCATCACCACTTTGGTCAAAACACTCCATAGGAAGGAAGACCTGACAGTTGTTACAGTGATTCTGCGTTCTGCGGGTGAATCGGACACCTTACCTTTCCAGTTGTAGGTTCCTGGAGCCCCAAACAGAATGAAGTCGTTGTCTGGGGTGAAACTGACGGACATGCCCTGCTGGCAGAAGCCAAACTGCTCGTGTCCCTGCGGCCGGCCCTCGCAGAACTTCCACTCCCCTCCATCCAGGTCGTCCCGCTCCGTCAGATCATCACTCAGAACGTAGCAGCGTCCAATGGGATCACGGGTCTCTGAAGATTGACCAACACGTTGCCTGAGCTCATACAGATGAGCACAGGTCTGGTGAGGGACAGGAAATGGAGTATTAATGATCAGGATTTATATGTTGGTACTGTTACTGTTGTTACTCATTCAGAAAAGCTAGTCTTCAACGTTGAACATACATTTTTAAAAGGTTAATACAGATTAACCAAACCTCAAAATGGTCTAGGTTCACAAGTCATTGGGTCAGAAGCAAAACAACAAGAACAGCATAGCTTCCTTCACTGATACATTAACAGGATGTGGCCTTCACTTACCACCACCTTCCCTCCAATCCCCTGACTCTTGACAGTGACTCCCAGCCACTGGTTGTCTTTGCTCTCTCTTTCCAGATTCACTGAGGGAAAACGCAGAAGGAAATGGCTTCAAATCATAACAGTTCCCATATTGTAAACCAATTAGGATCTGAGCCACAGTAAGCAAACAGCACTTTGTTGTTGAAGATGAACACACAGTACACTTTTCTCTAATGTAATGCAAATTACTAAATAAATGTCAAACACGAGTTAGAAACTTTTGAATAATAAAGGCTGTCTAAAAATTAAAAAGTCTGTTGTTTATTTTCTGGATTATTAGAATTTCTTTGATCATGTGGGCTAAAAAAGTCACAGTTACAATATTCAGCAATACCAGTATTAAGCATGTTGACATATTTGAACTGTCCGTTTTAGTTGACAAACAAACTCCAAATGATTAAGAAAAAAAACAAGGAAAGCAACAATAGTAACAACACAACAGGCAAATAATCACATTGGAGATCCTTAAACTAATCATATTTTTTTTAAATGACCAAGTCTATTATCTAAATTACAGCTGACTCAATTAGCACCACATTGTTGCTGCTAATCAATAACTGACTAAACATTAGAGTTCTACTTGACTCACCTTCTCCGTCGATATCCACCCTCTCACAGTCGTACTCCTCAGGTGTGATTGGACATTTGAACAAAGCTCCTGGCCGAGTGCCCCTCATCAGGCCCTGCCCCGCTGCCTGTGGGGCTCCCACAAGGATCCTAAAGGAACAAAACAATGAACATTTATTTAATGAAACATGTTATTTTATTACATTTTCATTGTTGAATTCATGGTAGAGTCTGTTAGGGTTTATGACAGTAACTTAACATCTCATGTAAGTCAAGTAGGCTCCTACATCAAATCTAATGATAGTTGCAACTGGTTAAACGCTATTATTAAAGCTAACATTTTACATGTGACTGTGGGCACATTTCACAGCCTCGGCTGACCTGAGGCACCATTACTGTAAAGTACAAACACCTGTAACTCAAGTTATTCCAACCATGGCGAGACCACTAAATATGTTATCTCGACTTGAAGCTGATTCGAAACAGCTCTGTGTATCTGCATGTTCTCCATCTCCTTTTCACTATAATGATGTATACTATCATCAAACACCCTTCACTATCAAGGCAAGGAAAGGTTTTATTCTCAGTGAGGTGGTTTCTGATATTTTGGGGCCAGTGTCACTGCCCTCTGCCTTATTTGGAGCGGCTGATTCAGGCTAGGATGCTATTTAAAAACCGAGCGTTGAGCCACATTCCACCCAACACCGTCAGCCGTGGCATATGCATGGAAGCGAGACGTGGGGAAATGGAGGCGAAGGAAAGAGTATAATAAGCATATTGTAAGGTTGGGAAAAAAGACAACAAAGCCCGACAAAGGGATGAACCTTAAATTGAGTGCCACAACAATAGCTGTTTCAATATGCCTGCTGCTTACATATAATTATAGCGACGGTGTGTGAGTAGACACAAGCTGTAAAGCCTGTGTGAAAGGGTCCCATCACCAACCCCCCTCATATCTACCTTGCTATGTGTATACTTAAATTAGAGTTATCTCTGTGGCTGGCAAGTATTTTACTATAAATAAAATGTAGCAAGCGGATAGTTCTGCATGTAACCCACACAGACAGAGAAGTAGACACAGACACTCATCAACCAGCCATACCAGCAGGAACTCGTCATAATAATTTACTCTTGAGATATTTGAAGTTGTTGCTTGGTAAAATGTAATGAGAACAGGGAGAGTTGAGCATGCTGGACCAGACAACTGCACTTCCCAACATCTTACTTATTTTGCAGGGTGAGAAGAACAGCAACCTTGACTCAACATATTTTCTTCTTCAAGTGTAAGAAAAAAAACGTTGTCTTCACACTCATCCAAACCATCTTAACACACTGACATTAAAACTACCACAAATACCGCCCAGACTTCCAGACAGCTTTACTTTCTATTTACTTCGGAGTGCTTCTGTTGAAGAGCAGACGGGCGTTGCCTTAGGATGATTCCCCTCACCTTAATGAGACCTCCACTCAAAGCAAAGGCAGCTCATGTGAAATAACGACTGCTAGACATCACTGGTGGTCCACAGGAGTAACCCAGCAAAAATAGCGTTAACAGATGTTAAACAAAAGGGATTTAAGAGGAACAATTGATCACTAAAATCCTGATAAGATCTGATCCCTCTTATAGCTTTAACATTCCTGAGGAGCTCTGGTTTGTGTTGAGGAGTTGAGGTGATACCCATCTTTCCGCCCACATGTGCACACGCAGGCAGGTGTCAGGGTGTGAGGTGGGAGGTCTGTTAAGCTGTTATACCACCGGTATTTGGCAGGGAAAGTTGGATGGCTCCCAACCTTTCCATGTGCCTGAATATATATTCATCTCATTTTTACTAATTCTTCAGAGAGAACAGCTCAAAAGAGATTAAGTATACAGCCATGAAACAAAAATGATCAGGGGCCATGGTCAGTCAAGAGATGATCATAAATGTTTCTCAGAGACAAATCAATTAATGTATTTGTCACATTTCATTGTAATTTTAGATAAGGAGTTCAACCAGCAGTTCAAAAAGAAAATTATGCGGGAAGAGAGTGAGGATAATGGTTGAGATCGTGTGAGGGATTATCAGACTGTTTTATGTTGGCTTTGCATTTTTCTAATTTAATTTAATATGAATAACTAATATTAACCTGCACATATGCCTCCATACTCTCTACAATTAGAGAATATCATGAATAAAGCTCACATTTTTATAATTAGCTGACACAAATTGTGATTACTGATAAATCATTAAAGTAATTTAAAGTATTTTTCTGTGTAAAATGCCAACATTTACCAGCTCTAGCTCCTTGCTATAAGGAAATGCTGATTTACTTTATCCCATATAAAAGCTTATTGTATATATTCTAACTTTTTCTGATTTATACTTGGATAAAACAAGACATTTTACGATATAACACTGAGACGTTTTTTCACTATTTTCTTACATTTTAAGTGAAACAATTAATCCTTTGATTATGAAAAAAATTAAATAATCATAAATTCCAGCACTTTTTGCTGTAAGGACATTCATTGCCGTTTCCCTAAAATGAAAAGATTCTTTGTTTGAAAAATGTAATTTATCATTTAAAAATAGATTTAAGACAACAAGGTCATGTTGTCTGGGTTTCCTCAGCAATTGTCACAGCCCTGAACATAACATGAAACTGTTTATAAGAAGTTAAGTTAGGCAGAGATGAATAATGCATCCAGACAGGCACACATGAACCAAATTCGACACAGATAAAATGTCATGTCTGAGTAACACATTCACTTTGAGCTCACTTCATTGTACAGCATTGAGTCAGACAGTATGATGATCACTGCCATGCTCATCTTTCAGTAAACCCACATCTGACGTGTGTGTGTGTGTGTGTGTGTGTGTGTGTGTTGTGTGTGTGTGTGTGTGTGTGTGTGTGTGTGTGTGTTGTGTGTGTGTGTGTGTGTGTGTGTGTGTGTGTGTGTGTGTGTGTGTGTGTGTGTGTGTGTGTGTGTGTGTGTGTGTGTGTGTGTGTGTGTGTGTGTGTGTGTGTGTGTGTAATATGAGTAGTTGTGGATATGTCGTTGCTGCTGGCTGGATGGGAGATATCAGGGTGCTGAGAGTGAGTGACAAAGTCGGCACCAACATACCTGAGTGTGTGTGAGATTGTGTTATATTATGGCGCGTTTCCACTGCAGCGGGGTAGCCCCGTTTAAGCGTCCCTAAGCGTCCTCGCTCTGGCCTCGGGCTGCCTCGCTGGCCGGCCCAGGCCGTGGCGCATTTCCATTACAGTTTAGGACCTGGGGTAGCAACGCAGTGTAGGCGGGGCGATCGGCTTTGTTTTTGTTCACATTTCGAGTTGTTCCGTCGAGCTCCCGCTGGATTTTATCATCCCCAATGAGATGAAGGAACGTCGTCACCTCCTCGGTCGACCACGGTGTGCTTTTCTTAGAAGTAGCCATTTTTGTAGCTCCTCCGTTTACAAAATGCTGTGTATAAAAATGCTGCAAGCTTGCTTCTAGATATATATGCGACGCTAGGGATGAACTCGCGCGCGATCTTGTGACGATTCTCTCTGACCAATCAGCAGTCGAGAGTGTTGACGTCACTAGTTCAGCCCTGGCCCTGGTCTGAGGGAACCATGATTTTATGAGGCCGGAAAAAGAGGGAAAAAGTACCCGCTGGCCGGTACTAGGCTATATGGAAACGCCACCAAAAACCGGCCTGGCCGCTTGAGGACGGTTAAGGACGCTTAAACGGGGCTACCCGATGCAATGGAAACGCGCCATTACATAGCCATGACCCCAGGATCCATCAAGTAAAGTCATTGTAAAACTAGTATTTTACACTGATCTAAAGTTATTAGCCAGAGTTAAAATCAACCTCTCTAAATGTGAGCGATGACGACCCTCAGGTTTCAGGTCTGGGTCCTTTTAACTAGTTATATTAATACCATTACTTTGGACATACCATAGGAAAACAAATAGGTTTTTTGATCTATGTGGTGCTGCTATCTTGGCGGGGGTAATTCTAATTGAAGCTCTTTTTCTGTTTCAATAAAGTAATATTGTTTTATTATTTTCTAATCAAACACCATAGTTCAGTGACGAAGTGTAATGTGTGAACCAAATAACAAAAATGACCGTGTCAAAATTCCGGAAATAATTTCTTATAAGCCCACCCTCCACTATAAATCCCTCTTGATTTTCAGGCTAATCATCACAGACACATGACAATCACACACCGGAGCCTCATTACACTAGACTCATACCGATGTGTTCATTAAGGGGAGCATGTGCAGTGACCCCAAAGTCTCCCCTGACCACCCCTCCCCCATGTAAACCCCATCCTCACACACAATCTCCTTCACTCCTCCCCCACCCTCAGGAGTCACATCCCTGCGTTCAGCTTCCCATACAGGCAGATTGATGACAACACACTGGACAACAATACATCACAGATGCAATCAATATTCCGACCGGCATCCTCTCTCTAAATATCAAGAAAGATTGCCAACAGCCAAGAGCGTTGTTCCATCCTATATGATGACTCGAACATGGTTGAGTCCAGCAATGTTGATTCTTTCCTCATACCCTTGCACTTGCAGCGTGTAAAATCATATGTAGTCTATATTCATGTTTCATCGCAGGATGTATTCTGCTCATTGGGTTGATAAGATGATAGTTGATAAGACTCCTGGTTTGGTAAAATAAATTGAAATAAATGTTTTATACTTCAAAGTCCCCTGACATTAAGCTTTAAACTAGACTGCTTTGTCTTTGTAACTGAAAACACATGGCAATAGTAGCAGACCTACAGAAACATCTGCAGAAATGTATTTTGTACTCCTAAGAGAATTCCTGAATCCTGTTTTGTTTGTTTAAGGAAAGAGAATACCTTTGCTGGAAAAGGAGAGATAGATGTTGGCGTTAATGTGATGGCCACATATGGTCAGTTTGCAAAGAGCCTCAATCTGACTGCACACCATTGAAACAATGTACAGAAGCTTTCCACACCTTAGAGAGCAACTGAAAATGTTTCTAAAACCCAACCCTTTCCTAGAATTGTCCAGGCCTCTCAAGCTTTAGGAAGTTTGGGAAAAGTGTTGAATCAAAAAATACAGCCTAAATATTTCCAATATTTAGTTTGGTCAGTTGATCCCTCCTAGTCAGTCTGCCCACACACTTTGACATA